GGGATATATCGAAAATAGCGAAGAAATCAAAAACCATTATTAAATGGGAGTGTAATGTTTAAGGATGAAATACAATAAAACTAATTCGACAAAACAAAATTGGTTTTTCACGAGGTTTTTCAAGTAGAATATTTTTACCCTGCAGCATCTTTTACATTTCAAAAGTTCGTAACGCTGAAGCAGAGTTAATTAATCACTATTTAAAAATCTAATAGACTTTCATTTTAAGTATAGAACTCAAAAAATAATATCTAGCCTCTTTTTTATAGATCAAATTTATGAAATCGTACACTAATAAATTGTTAATAATAAATTGGTATACCTATTTTTCATATGTCTGGGGGCCTGATTAGTTTCCTCATTTACAGTTTATCACTCTATATTCTATATCATTTTTTATATTAATATGTATGTACATCACAAAAACACACAAACAAAGATAAGTGCGGTTAGGTTATTGTTATTGTTTGTTGAATGTGTCATGTGATCTTGTTTGAATTTCATACGCATGCGACAAGAGGGTCATGAGTGATTGGATGTGAGATGCGCTCTCAAATAAATGATCACATCAGAACAGGGCTTAATAAGACTGTCGGAATGTCAACATTCAAATAAAAATAAAACAACAGAATAAAGCCGCAGTTGCCAGATCTACTATTTTAATCGTAGATTTACTGTTTGATGCTTTCTACTTTTGCCGCGTTTGAGAATCCACATCGGATGCATCTGAGATGTAGTAAATCTTTGATCACGTGATTCAGTATACGTAAATGTAATGGGAGAGATGTGTCGGATGTGGATAAAAAAACGCTCGAGATGTAAAAAATGCATCCGATGTGGATTCTCAAACGCGGCAATAGTTATTGTTTGATTTTAAAATATATTTTTGCTACTCAAATTTAGAATTTTCTTAAAAATAAAATACCGTAAGCAACAATTTATTTTATGTAAATGTAAAACATAATGTATATTTCAGACAGTGGCATTCCTGGAATAGTAAAATACCTGTATGAAATTTCTAGTATTTTAACCACATAACTTTTAAATCGTCAAATGTTTTGTCATCTCCGCTTAATTTAAAACAAAATGGTGGTTTTTGAAAAATGTTTGCGTTTTTAAATTATATATGTTGTTATGGGGTGTCAAATATACTGCGACCCAATAAACACAGTTTATCGCCACTGTAACTGGCCCGAAAGAGGCTTACCGGAAGCAGCTTCGGCATATAGGTATGTTCGCCCAGCCGAATGTCGGCAGCCCACTAAATTGTAGCCGCGTTCATATATCTATACAGTGAGCATCTTAAGTCTTACCCCCCTAACTAACTCGTTACTGGGGTCTTGTTAGGAAAATCGCCGAGACAGGTCGATTTTTAATTTCTACAATGTACATTTTTGCATGATTAGTTAACCCTTAATTTCATCCCTTACTGGAGGGTAAAAACCCTTTCGAAAAATTTAAATGGCATGGGGTGGTGAGTGATAGCTCATTTGAAAGGGGGTTTTATTCTCTATTCAACCTTGCAAAGAAATTTTGAAATTTGCATCATTACATGTTGATTTATTAATGTTTAAAAATAATAAAACCTCACAAAATAGGAAAGCAACTAGACTAACAGTGACCTTCTAATGGCAAAAAGTCTTACTTCACGTCTGAACCAAAACCGAAGTCATGCAGGGCCGAATTTTAATTCTAAGGATGAGTGCGCTACGTTAATTTCCGTTATTCTGAAACAACAATTAGTCGAGAATTAATGAAAATTTCAATTTTTTTTGCACGGTTGAATAGAGAATAAAACCCCCTTTCAAATGAGCTATCACTCACCACCCCATACCATTTAAATTTTTCGAAAGGGTTTTTACCCTCCAGTAAGGGATGAAATTAATGATAAACTATTCATACAAAAATGTACATTGTAGAAATCAAAAATCGACCTGTCTCGGCGATTTTCCTAACAAGACTCCAGTAACGAGTTAGATACCCCCCGTAAGACTTATGGTGCTCACTGTTTACATATAATTCGGCCCGTAAGGATGCCTCCCATGCCCAGCTAGCCAAATATTAACCGCTTTCGGCCCGTAAGGATGCTTCCCATGTCTAGAACGCCAAATATGGACCATATGCGATTTCTACTTCTAAATTACGTCAAATGGTACGGTCCTCCCGGCTCAGAACAAACACCGACAACGGCAATCCGAGTACTCGGCTTCCTGTACATGACGGTGACAGGCCGAGCGAAAGCTGACTATTTGTGGTTTACTGGGGACCTATTTTGGTATTTTTTGTTTTTAAATGGAAACTATATAGTTTGATATTTCGGAAGCAGCTTTTCTTTCTATCCAGTGGTAAAGTCGGCTCCAGACTCACAGCCCAGTATAGAGAGCTTCTTTATGCAGGGCTCACAGCGCGGAAGCCTGTGAATTAAGAGCCATAAATGCGAGTGTAGATGATTATCGCTGCGGTTCACGAATTCCAAGCCTCTTCACATCACGTATTGTTCCCGATCTAGAGCGGTAGAGCAATATGGCGGACGCTATCCCTTATTATCCACTGATCATCAGTGCCGTAGTTCTATGATGCATAGTAGACGTGGTTGTAGACGATCAAGGTAAATAGTAATAGTAACAGTAATTGTATAAAACCGCCGCACTTCAAAATCGTGCAAATGGCGTCATCACATCTTAACCAGATTTATACGGGAACACCCCTAAGGTACCCCCTTACTAACAAAAATAATAATAGAAATCGGACAAGGTGGTAAAGAATTATCGCTAAACATACATTAAAAATGAAGAGTTTGAGGATTTTCTAATAGACCCAATTATTGGATTTTGACCAAATTAATATGGGACCAGCCCTAAGGTACCCCTTTTCTAACAAAAAAAGAATCATTGAAATCGGACACCGTGTTAAAGAATTATCGCTGAACATACATAAAAAAAATATTACGACGAATTGAGAACCTCCTCCTTTTTTGAAGTCGGTTAATAAAAAAAAAAAAATAATAATATCGCGACCAATTGACAACCTCCTCCTTTTTTGAAGTCGGTTAATAATACGTGTTTTAAATATAAACACTTTATAGAGCTTTCGAATTAGTACTTTCCAATTTCTGGAACATTACCAAGCAGATCTACTTATAGTTTGCAGACGTATCCATCTTCTAAAACTACGTGAAAACTGACCGACTGTGAATGTGAGTGCAGAGACAGCGTTCTGGTCCACTCGTCCAATCAGGACATTATCGGGGAAAATTCTCGCCGCGACGTCATACAGCGAAAATGTGAAGTGTGCTTAAAAAGTTTTTTTAAAATCGATGAAGAAATGATAGAAGCCTCTGCAAAAAAAAAACAGCCACTAAAGAATTTTTTCTACGATCACTATCCAAAGTAGGCTTCTGCACATTTTAATATAACTGGAAATTTAACATAATTTGTTATATTTTGACATTTTTGGCGCACATGTGCGCCAAACAGAGCGGAGTAATTCCTAGTTAAAAAGTAATTAATAATTACAATTACTTTTTATTCATGTAATTTGTAATTGTATTTAAGTACTTTTTTAAAAAGCAATTTGGAATTGTAATTGCAGCAAAATCTGTGGCGGAATTGTAGTTTGTAATTATATTAATTTATATTATTTAAATTGTCTAAATACAATTACTCGCCATAAGCACAATTACTTTTCCAATTACAATTACTTTGTCAATTACAATTATTTTTCCAATTACAACTACTTTTTTCCAATTACAATTACATTTATAAGTACAATTACATTTTTTAATTACAGTTACTTTTAAATGCGTGTTTATGAGATGCACGTGATATAAAAACAAGAAATTTCCTATTCGAACCGGCCACTAGAGCTCGGACTCGCATCCATATCATTTGTTTGAATGCATTTGAGGAAAGCGTTATGCCGTGAAGCAGTGAAATTTGTCAATCCAAAATAATAACAGTAAGGGGCAAGTAGATCCAGATATCTTTATTTTTAAGACTTATTTTGTATTTATATTATTATGAACATAATTTATGTTGCATAAACATTATAAACTAAGGAAATATAGTATGAAGTGGTGCAAATAGCAGTTTTTATGGGGTAAATACTAAATACTACCTATTTACGTTGCGTAGGTATTTCTAGTTATTATTCTAGTTTTCTACATTGAAATGAAGGATTAACTATTTTAATAAACGTATTCTAAGTTACTTTAGCGTTACAAGTATTTGATTTTAACGTAGAAAATGCAATATTTTAATTAAATTAATAGCAATTATAACGGAATAAAAATATTTTTTGTGTTATAAGAAATTATTTGATGAAGTAGATCTATAACCAAATTTGTTTGTACGAACGAGATACAGAACGATACATTTTAGATTATTATTTTGGGGAAACAAGCCCTATAAGTGCTAAATGGTGTTTAGACTGTACCTATGCCATACAAAATGTGTCATGTGTCACTTCAAACCGAGTTTAACTTTAAGTAAGATTTATACAACCCGTCCTTAAGATATCTTTAACTTTAAGGAATCCGTAAGAAAGTCGTTGCAAACTGCTGTTAGTTTGACACTTTGAAATATCTATTTAAAAATTTTGTTTGTACCGGTCCGGTTGGTTTATGGTTCCTCAATTCTATCATAATTTGTTATTTTGTCTGCAAAGTAATTAGAAAAGCAGGGCCGCTGAGAGCCAGGTCGGGCCCCAGAACAATTTTCCAGATCGGGCCCCGCAACAATTTTATAAAAAAAAATTCTCCTCCTCTTTACTTAAATTTCTCAGAAAAAAGTCTTCAAACAAAAACTTCTCCTCTACTTGAATTTCTCTAAAAAAAACTTCCCCCCTCTTGTGCCGAATTTCTAAAAGTACTTAAAAAACCTCGTCACACTTGCCGGCCCCCCCTTATACCGCTGACCCCCTCTCTTGTCGGCCCTGTAGAAAAGTAATTGCTAATTCCTTTTTTCATGTAATTGTAAATATATCAATATAATTCCTTTTTTGAAAAAGTACTTTGTATAATTTTGACGTACGCTCCGAATTTATTTCTTATGAAAACATCCATCTGGCAACACCGAATCGACTATAAAATTTCGAACGTCATGAAACTGATTTTATGGCAATTTTGCATTTTATTCACAATATAATTGTGATTTTATTATAAAATATAAAAGCCGCAGTTTCGTTGGTTTTTGTTCTTTCAACCAAGTATTCTAAATAAATAAATAAATTGTGTTTTAGTTATTAAAAGTATGGGTTCGATTAAAAGAGGAGCCTTAATAGTAATAGAAGGTGTAGATAGGTCTGGAAAATCAACACAATGCAAGAAATTAGTGGAAGCTTTACAAAAGAAGGATATTTCCGCCAAATTAATGAGCTTTCCAGATCGAACAACTTTAACCGGAAAATTAATAGATGATTATTTGAAAAATGAAGAAAATAAACTAAACGATCGAGCCATACATCTATTGTATTCGGCTAACAGGTGGGAAAATGTAGAAAAAATGAAATCGTTGTTGGATAAAGGCGTTACCCTTATCGTTGATAGGTATTCGTATTCAGGCATTGTTTTTTCAGCAGTGAAGAAGGGTAAGTATATTCAATATATTTACAAGAAACGAAGAAATATACAGTATTGACTTATTACACACTGTCACCTTAATCAGTCCCTTGTACAAGTCCTTGACAGGGTGTGTTCTATAGGTTGTTCTTGGATCAACCTGTAGTTGTCCAATAAGCGTCCAATAAGTTGTCTTTTGGCGATCCAATGCCTTGCAGTTCTGTAGTTGCACAGTATGTGTTTGGCTGGTTCCTTGTGATGGAGTCAGTACAATAGGACTCCATTATACACAACTATTTTGTTCAGGTTTACAGGGTGTACCTTTACTGGGCATGCCCAATCATGAGTACTGCTATTGTTTCCAACTACCTATTTATTGAGAGCAGTTCTCCTGTTCTATTTGAACATATGGTCTTCCTATAAAGGTCTTTCCATGTGCTTGTTTTGACATTCTCTTAATAGTTGTTGTGTTTTCTTCAAACCCAGTCAGTCATTCCTTCATTTCAATTAGTCATTTATGAAACCTCGAACCAAACTGTACAAGTCATTGGGCTTTAGCGTTATCAGAGACTAATTCAAACAAGCCCAGGAAAAAAATCATATATTAGTGTGGGGTGATCATATGTATTGTACAGCATTTTCAAAGTCTGTCCATTATTGTTCAGTATTGTCTAGCAAAGTAATACATAATTTACTAAAATGCAACAAATAAGACAAAAATATAATACATGACTTCTCTGTATTTTTGTATTTACTATATTTATCTTTGGGGGAACTAAAAAAAGGTCATCTACCAAAGTTATCAATGTTGTATTCATGTTCAGTATTGGGACAAAAGAAATTGGCCACCATATATATTAGTGGATTGTGAGGGTCTTCTGATTTTTTTTTTATTTCGGTGTTTGAACCTTCACCTTATTCTTTAAAAAATTTCATTTGTAACTTTGTCATAGTTACCTGTATAAAATTATCAATCCAATTGTTAGTAGCTATTCAAACTGCTTGTAACATTTTGTTTAAAATTGGTTGGTGGTCATATATTTTTTCTTCTTTTTTTAGTTATGAGTTTGGACTGGTGTAAATGTCCAGAATCTGGCCTACCAAAACCGGACTTAGTATTCCTATTAACTTTAGAAGAACAAGAAATGCTTAAAAGGCCTGGATTTGGTAATGAAAGATATGAAAACAAGACTTTCCAAAGAAATGTGGCCAATATGTATGAAACTTTATGCAATGAAGAAGATAATTGGATAAAAGTGAATGCAGCTGGTTCAATTGATGAAGTACATAGTAAACTTTTACAGGCTTGTTTAAAAGGCCTTGAGAAATTTCAAACTGCACCTTTAAAATCATTGTTCTTTACTGATAAGTGATAATAGTTAATTTTTCTAGGTTTTGTATTCCTATATATTTAATTTGGTGGGTAGATTTCAAATTTATGAAAAAGCACTCGTACTTTTTGTCAATGCTTTAAATAAATTGTCTCTTAATTAATTTTACATCTTAATACCTCATAATTCTAAATAAAAACTAAATATTTTTTTTTTGGTCAATGTTTTTGTTTGTGCCTACATACTAGTGAAGTTCACAGCAGCTAGATATTTATAGAATGTTATTTTTGTAGATTCATGGAACTGTTTTTTTTTTCTAGCTGCTAATTTATCAAATTTCACTATATTATGTTTTATTATTAAAATATTACACTATTATTACGTTATATTTTTCCAAAATATTCAGTTATTAAAATATTTTGTTGTATCAGTCCCTTAGAATTTTTCATTAGTTTAATATCCTAATTTTGAACTATTTTTTTAGGGAATGTCTGATTTTATTTTTGAATTTTCAAACCTTGTTGAATTGTAATTGTGTTCATTTATATATTTTATTAATAATTAGATTCTGTCTGACCTGAGTGGACATATTAGTACCTTTTTGATTAATTTAGCTGTATTTGCTATATTACTCTTTTAGCTTATCACTTGTATAATGTCCACTACTTAATTATGTTTATAAAGTTCCTTGTATCAATGGTTTAACATAGTAAATAAATTAAATTGGTCTTCAAAAAACACTAGGAAATACTGAAAAAATACTTGAATTTGCTTGAATGATTTCTGCTCATCATTTTAATCTTCAAATCGGTAGTAGCTTACTAAATACCTAGTAATAATTAGAGAGCACATCTCCTATCTCTGCTTAAAATCATGTCACTACTATCTTACTGGATTGATATTTTGTAAACAACCATTCAGGCTCTGACTTATTACATTTCTGGCTGTTAAAAAATCGCTTTCAAAAATGGCGCTGGACAAAATAGCGCGGAATTTATATTGCTTGGACAAAAGAGCAGCATAAAATATCGTTTGCCCTAAAAGGCATGTGGCTAAAAGAGCAGATGTCTTAAAAATGTGTGGTCAACAATTATATCGCCAAACGTGTATGGATACATTCGATAACTTTCATTATATAAAAAATTTACATGTCTGAGGATTTTCTTAAAATCAACATATGAAAGTTATTTATTGTATTTCATACATAATTTATTTATTTATTCACGGGCCTTGCCTACTTTCAGTACAAAGTTACAAACAAAAACAAAAAAAAACCTCAAATAGAGTAAATCTAAATAATATGTCATAATAATGATAAACTAACAACAAAATTCATAAATATATTAACATGTACAAAATGAAACAACTAATATTAAGACTAGAGAATTTAAGTCACAGTAAGTTTTAATACCCTCACAAAATTAGATTTTTTTTATTTTAAATACATTTTATTTATCATAATCTAACTCCTACAGTAAATAAGTAGGTAATCTTCTTTAACAATATACAGTTGAGACATAATTCGGTTTACAAATACCTGATCTTTTGATTAAAATGCACAGTTTTGAGGTTTTTTTGTATTATAATGATTTTACGGAAATTGTATCTCATCCGGGTAAAAAAGTGGCCCAAAGATTATTGTAACTATAATTACTATCTGCACTTTTATAATATCGTACATATGATAATAACATGTTATACATAAAAAATCTTTGCGAAAGGCGATATATCTTGGCGCTGTATTGTCAACGCCTTTTTTTGAAAGCGCTCTTGTAACAAAGTCTACATTTTTATTTGCTAGACTGTAGGTAAGGTTGTTCTCATATCGAGTCGGTGGTGTAGCGGTCTAACGCGCTTATATTCATTTATAAGCAAGTTTATGTGTCAGAGACTGCTGGGCTTCGAATCCCAGGCCAGACCATGTGGATTTTTAATTAAATTGCATGGTTCGGTATAGGATTTGATGTGTGCCGTATTAATAGAAATTCAATTTCTGTTGATATGACATGCAGATTATAAAAATCGCCATACATTACCGTCTCGATGATGGTGGGTGAGGTTTTCCTCACCTGTAAGTCAAATGGCACCATCAATCATATTTAAGTCGCCCCGGAGCGCCACGGCAAATAATAATAATAGCCGTCCCTTTCCCCGCACAAGCTCAGCTTTTGGGGTTAAAATTCACTCGTAAGGGGGTGAATTAGGGAGAGTATTATTATTAAACTAGTATTAATGATTAGTTTTGTAAACAATTTGGGCTCGAGACTTTTATTTTTTAAATATTTTAATAAAGTTTACAATGTAATTTTATTTATTTTTCCAATTTTACACATAAATATAATCAATTATTATGAAGTGTTTAATTATGAATATTTAGATGTTATTAAAATGCATATTCATGTGATAAGGAGTTATTACTTATAACATTACTGGTTTCATAAACAATTGGTCGGTATCTAATCACAATTGTTTGCTAATCTTTGATAATAATGTGTACGCATAATTATTCTTTCAATAACGCATTAAATTTGACCTTTTCTAAATAGCTGTCAAACTTTGTCTTTTTAATTACAAAATAGAAAAAATCTGTTTAGAAACGATTAGTCAACATTATTAAAAATTCTTTTGTATAATCTGTAATTGAAAAAATGTAGAACATATTTTGTACTCTAATGCCACATTATTGACATCAAAATTATCAATTTTAAGTTGAAAATATATAAATAATTTTAGTTCCTTTTAATATATGTTTACATTCTATTGAAATGTGAGAAATCATTTGTAAAACGTTTTATGTAAAACAATTTTATTTATATTCAATAATATAACTTAATTCATTATATTTTAAGCAATAAAATAATTTTATATTAGTTTTTTTCTTCAGTTTCTGGCGAATCTTCCCTTTTTCTCTTACCTTGGTTCTTCTTACTTTTTGAAATTTTTTGGTCTCCAACCCTATAAAAAAGCATTCTTATAAGCTTAGAGGGAATTCAAGATTACAAAGTGTGTGCCATAAAGTTGGATCAATATTTTTATTATTATTATTATGATTGGAAAAAAACGTAAGCAAGACACGTCTGCTTATTTAAAAACGATGTTTCAAAAAAATACCGAATTTGACAAATAACTTTAATATGGGCTATTTTAAGTTTTTTAAAAAGCAGAGATGAATGCCCATGTTTTTTTTTTCAATCGAAATATTAAAAAATAATCCCATATGGAGCCAACTTTATGAAACACAATTGTTTAATTTGGCTTACATTGCAGTATTTCTTGAACCAGGACCCCAATGCGGTAAAGGATTCGCCTGAAACCTTATGAATCCTAATTGTCTTGAAGGAGGGTTAGCTTTTGGGTGCTTTGTGAATGAATACTCTTTTTCGGGAGTTTTAGACAAAATTTCAGCTGCAGGTGAACCTTCGGTAAGTCGCTTTTTTGAAGCTGGATGTAATTTTTCCCAGGAACGCATTATATCCCAGATTACCTATAAAAAAAAATATTTTTTATTTTTAAATATTCATGAATCACAAGAACAAGATACATTATAATCCAGATAAAAACATTATTTAGTTGCTTTACCTTTGTGGGTGCATCAGTTTTTATAGAAGTTTTGTTCATGTGTGAAAAAGATACTCTGTAACCAGCATTGAGTATGGCAGATCTATAAAAAAATTAACAATTTTAGATATGAATATTTTTAATATTGAATAGTTTAATGCACGTCTACATTAATGGTTATTTAACGAACAAGAGTATTAATAAGGGCGATTAACAATCGAGATAATTGAGCAGAGCGAGAAATCTCTCGCGATTAACAATCGTTAATCGCCATTTTAATTCACGAATTCGTTACAGAACTTTTCCGCCGACCGTACTTTTCAAAAATAAAGATATGTTACTTTCAATTTTAATTTATTCGTCAATATCCATGTTTTGATTCTAAACTATACATAGTTTTTAAATTTTAAGAAATTAAATAATGACATTAACACACCTTGATTTCAAATGTATATGTATGTTTGGTTGCCTACACCATAGGTAACTGTCAATATAAATGTATAATAAGAGCAATGTACGTTGGGTTGCATATAATAAAATCGTTGATTAATAGAAAATCATTCAATAAATAGGGGTCATTAATCAACGATTTTGAGTGCGTTAAAATACATCATAAATGGAATAAATTCAGTAGCTCAATTATTGTGCATCTTTATAAAAAATCCCGAAACACTGTAAATTTAGACTATAAAACGCCATCCTGTAACGTGAAAATTTCCCCCCTACCTTCAACCCGCTTCAAGTGACAGTTAATAATACTTCCCTAATTCACCCCCTTACGAGTAAATTTTAACCCCAAAAGCTGAGCTTGTGCGGGGAAAGGGACGGCTATTATTATTATTTGCTGTGGCGCTCCGAGGCGACTTAAAGATGATTGATGGTGCCATTTGACTTACAGGTGAGGAAAACCTCACCCACCATCATCGAGACGGTAATGTATGGCGATTTTTATAATCTGCATGTCATATCAACAGAAATTGAATTTCTATTAATACGGCACACATCAAATCCTATACCGAACCATGCAATTTAATTAAAAATCCACATGGTCTGGTCTGGAATTCGAAGCCCAGCAGTCTCTGACACATAAATTATTTTTAAATTTATTGCAAAAATTATCAGTAAAAAAATAAATTACCAATAGAGTTTCATTCTTGATAATATACAAAAAGTAACAAAAACGCATTTCCCTATATAAGAAACGTTTGTTTTGACAAGATGTTTTTATACCAAATGTAATCCATGTTCTTGCCTTTTTCTTTTTAAATTATTTTACTAGAAAAATTAAATCTATATATGTTTTCATTTAAGAATGAAATAAGTCATATGCAGTATTGACTTCGACAGGATATCTTCCCAAGTTTCAAATATTAGTTCTTCGGCAAAATGTCGAGTTTATTTGTTTGAAAATATGCGTCTTTTTGATGTTTTTTTTATGTGCTCTCTATGAACGTTTATTTTAAGTATTTGTGAATAATGGTCAGATAATAGCTAGATTGAACACATGGACATCATCCTGAAAATTAACGAATATATTATCTATTGGAGTCCTGTTTATTTTGGTTACTCTTGTAGCTTCAAAAACTAGTTGTTTTAAATTATTACTTTCAATTATATCTATAAAAGTGCCAGACTGATAATTTATTTCAAAGAGATTGATGTTGAAATCACCACATACTATTATTTAAAAAAAAAACTTTCAACACTTAGATTTTCAACATGTTCCACCACCTCAACCGATTGAAATTTGTCACTAAAAATTTAATATACAGCAGTGGCGTGCGGTGACATTTTTGGAAGGGAAAGCGATTGTTTAAAAATACAGCACAGCGCCGCAAGCCAAAATTTTTTCGCGGCGCATACACCATTTTGTCAAAATCTTACTTTTTTCCTCAGTACTACGGATATTCGAGATTGAGATTTTTGAAGTGTTACTATTACTTTATTACCTAGTTTAGTACTAGAAGCTATAAAAAAACTTACCATTGAAAAGCTTCCTTTGTTTATTTAAACGTAAAAAACATTTAACTGAATTTTTTTTTGTTATTTTTTCCAGCATTTTTCGCACAGTTTACATTTATTTATACTTAAGATCTATTTGCCTATCCTCAATGGCTGCAAATTTGTCTATAACATCGTCGTAAAATTTTGGATTTTCTGATAACTGTTTAACAAGCTGTTTTTCAATGAATATTAGGGCTAAATTAGAGTCTGTCTTCACTTGTTGAATTTCTTATAAACCTTTTAATGCGCTTTGTGAAAAACTTCGCTCAACTGACGCACTAGTGGCTGGGATGGTCAGTACTAATTCACACAACTTGACGACTTCAAAAAGGGACTTATTTAAACCAGTTGTTATAAGAAAATTGATGGGCGTCTTTTTATCACTAATTTCAGTTGTTTCATAAACAATACTTAACTGGGACTTTAATGCTGGAATATCGAAAACATTTCCATAATTTAATTTTAGTGAATTAAAAGCTTCCGATGGAAATTTTGATGAATCGTAGTTATTAATAATAAAATTGCACAATTCAACAAATTTTAATTCATTAAAGTTTTGAAATCGAGAGTTCATTGTTGCAAAATATTATCAAAAATTTAGGCGTATAATCGACGATAGGAGGTCTCTCTGTCGCCGACATTATCAATTCTAATTCTCTTTCTTTCAGGTTCTAAGTCAATGTTTTGAGTCGTATTCCAAAAGTGTTCAAACTGATCTCGTTTTTTATTCATTTTATTTTTAAAATCATCAATTTGTTTAATGCAAAAGCCAATGTCATTTGATTTTGTCTGTAAAATGTCGAATAAAATGTCAGTAAAAGGGAAAATCTCTGCAAAAATGTTGAGCAAAAAATTGAAATCAAAGTTTTGTTTGGGCCAATGTAAATACCCTTTAGCGGCAGTAACAGTTTCAGCATCCCATGTTTCTTTATTATCCCAAACGTCTTGAAAAAAGTGTATCAAAGAATCACGGTATTGAAACACTGCACTAAACGTCCATTGTAGTTCCATCGCGTCGGAGCAAATTTTGGAAACCTTTTTTGAACGTGAATGTCAAAAGCGCGAGTTCTTTTCGATGACTTTGAAAAGAAGGAAGCCAAACCACTAAGCGCCGAAAAGAAAACTTTACAATCTTTAATATTATCCATGCTTCGCGATAAGCTTAGAGCCACATTCTAAACTTGAAAAAATGTCACAAGCAATTTTAAACAATGCATCTGCAGTTCGTTCGCTAGTGACGTCCAAAAGTCCTAAGAATCGCTCTTGAGGAATGCCATCCAATACATAATAATAATGTTTATTTACTGATAAAAAATAATACAGTAGAAACGTAATTAACAAAAATTCTTTACAATAAACAAACAGGTTACAGCACAGAAGCAGTAGAAATACCGCTTATACGCGCTATTAAATTAACAAAGAATTCTTAATCCAGTATACATATTAATTACACTTATTTACAATAATATATACATATCGCACAACAATGGGTAATTGACTTAAGTTTGCTACATATGTGGTTTCATCAAGCGCAATTGATACAAAAGGTGCTTTTTTAATTTCACTTTTAATGTGATCCATTACAACGTCGGCAGTGCATTTATTTAAATCATTTTGGATTCTGAGGTACCTCGGAAAGTCGTCGAATCAATAAAATGATTTTTTTAGGGCATCATCGTATTTTGCTAAAAAACTTCGAAGGTCCATGTAATTTCCTCGATCGGCGGATCCACTTGCTTCATTGTGACCCCTACTTAGCTCATGCTCTCCCAAGAAACAACTTACATCTATTAATCGTTGTAAGACGTTCCTATTTTTTTTTACCCTTTCATTGTGAATTTTGTTGCTTATTTTTAAATGAATGTCCAAACTATGTTCAATGCGACAGGTCCCGAATGTTTTTTTCTTTAATTGTAGCACTTATATGAGATTTGCTATTTACATGTCGTTTTACACTTTTGTGAAAATTGTTCAAGTCTGTAATACTGACTAAGTTCCAATGTGTTTTTTCGGTTATATATAAAAGTAGGCAAGGCCAGCAAAACAATTTCTTCAAAGTTTTGCAGCCGGTTAACCATTCGTACTTTTCATAGAACCCTACGTAAAAATGCCTGGTAAATTTCTTTGCTGACTTTTCTATTTTCGTCTCTAAATTGATAGGATCCTTTAGTCTACTAGAATTAATAATGTCCGTTTTCTCTTCAAAATTTCTACTTGACAATCATTTTTTCAATAAATAGCACATAATACAGACACAATTTACAACATTATTATTGTTCACAGGCACAGTGCATAGTTCCTCCATTTTTGAAAAAGAAAACCAACTACAAAAAACAAACCGAAATCTATCTGATGTCTACGATTTTTCTCACACGTCGATTCGCGGTGCGAATTGTAATATGCGTAAGGCGACGTAAAAATCGCTGCCTCTCGACCGTATTTCACGTGCCCAAACAGACTGACTACTGTCGCAGCAAAGCAAGGTCAATAACACGACGCGAAATCAATTGGAAGATGAAACGGCTTTTTCAAGACACGCTTCCGCCGGCGGACTCGAAGTATATGATGTGTACGTTTACACAATTAATTTTCTCATAGGTGGTGCGTGCGTTTACACATTACACCAATGAATTGTTAGTACATTTACGGAGTTTACGTAATGTTTCAGAGAAAATATAGTACCTACCTAATTTAATATTAATTTATATGCATTGTAAACTGAAAAATATTTATTTTTAAATCTCAAAGCGTAGGGAAGCGGTGCTTCCCCCGCTTCCATGGACCGCACGCCCCTGATATAATACAGGCTCCTCCACAAACAGAATTTTCTTGGGATACGCATGACCTTATTTAGTAATCTTTATAAAGTCCTCCTCTTTGGAACAAAGCCAATGTTCAGTAAAACCATTGTATTTAGAGAAGATAGTAGAACAACCTTATGGACGTTTCATTGGAGGCAATTCTGTCGCGACATCTGTTAGAAATTCATCAAAATACATCACACAATACATCTGGTTTAAGATCATGTGATCCTGCTGGTTATTCTATTGATTGACACCTCCACCGATTTGGAAATATTTTGTTGTAACGTGGTGGTGCTGCATCCTGACGAACTATATCACATATGCTGGAGCGAGTGGGTTTGCTTGACCAGGATATAAATTTGCCAAAGTTGGCACAATAGTTTGAAGCAGTGTTAAATAATTATCTCCATTCAAATTACCATTAATGTAAAAAGGACCAATAACATGTTTCCAGCTATCTCTGCCCAAATATTAATCTTTTCAGGATTTGTATGTTATTTTCTCATCCAGTGAGTACTTTCATAAGACTACCGACAATTTTGACAATTAGTATGGCTGTGAAGTGTAAAAGGGCATTCATCAGAAAACACATATTCTACTTGGATAATATTGTTATCTAACATTCCCATCATTTGCTCACAAACATGCGTTCTTCTATCAAAATTGTCTTCCATGAGCTCCTGAGTTGGTACCATTTGTAAAATTGTTATTTTATTTATTTATTTATTTGCTGGTCAGAGCCCATTAAAATAATAGAGAATACAATCAAATCCCAAACAATAATAAATCAATTTAAAATATATACATATTATTAAACAATTACAGAAATGTATGGTTAATCAGTTGAAATACATATGTATATCTACAAATTTGTGGTTTTCAACTGTCACTTGAAAGGGGTTGAAGGGGTTGAAATATCACATTACAGGATGTCATTTTATAATCTAAAATTGACGTGTTTCGTGATTTTTTATAAATATGAGCAGTAATTGAGCTGAATTTATTCCATTTACACACTGTATAAATAAATCCTGTTTTTTAATAATGTAGACTGCTTGATTAGAAAACTCATTTTTTCATTCATGAAAAAATGAAAATTTATACACTTATTGCATCAATAACTCACCGGATAATTATCATTTGAGGGGTTTCAACATGAAGAGTCCCACACATTTTTTCCAAAGTATAATATAAAGGCACATCATGTAATTCTTCAGATACAACATTTAATACACCTTGAATACGGCGAATAGTCACTAATTTTTCCGAAGCTGTCTGTAGGATTTGCTTAACGAATTCAGGAGAATGTATAGGTGCTGACCAAATCGGTCCTCCTATCTAAAATATGTTTAAATGTTAAAAATTTAGATGGTAATTTGTATTGAAATGTATTTCAAAATTCTGTTTTGAAAATAGAGCCAGAAGGTATTCATATAACTGATAAGATTAAGTTAAAACTCCTGAGATAAAGGTTATATATATAATAAATATGAAATTTTGATGCAGAATCTTTAATTGAGTATTACTTACATGGTGAGGATGTCCACAGTGTTCACATTTTTGGCTAACGGCAGGACCAGTGGGAATTTTGAATTTGACTAAATTAGTATTTTTCTCATTGGTTTTTAATATACCTAAAGGTTGAAGAGTAAAACTATCGCATCCTGTACAGTGATAGACATGAGATAATTTGCTAAAATAAATACATATGATTTTGTTATTTTTAAGGATTGATTAAAATACATTTTTAATAATGTAAAGCTGCAACTTTGTGTTGTTAAATAGATTGACTGGAAACTATTATCTATTTTTTTTATACAATCACTTGCATTTATTTTAAGATGTGCACTTGAATGTACATAAACAAAATGTAGTTTTTAACATGAGACAACCAAGGCATTAAGATTCAGATAGCAGCATTTTAACAATTTTTTTAAAAACAAATAGAAGTGTGGTGGCGCTTTTTCTCCTCAATTGCTCCATTCAACACATATGGGGATTTTAAATAAAAAAAAAGCTATAGGTATTCTGGTATCAAACTTTTGGAGTGTTTTATTATTAATTTCCTTCTTTTGCAGTGAATAAAGTACAGAAAGCAAAATAATGGCTAAATTTTTAAAAAATAAAAGAATCTTAATGAAAACTAACCTAGTGCTGAATTTACATTTGTATTGCCCGGAATATACCCTCACAAACACTCTGATATAGAAATCTGCTGACAATGATATTAATGGTACTATGTATCTTCCATATCTGTTAGCATGAGACTCTATACATTGTAATAAAATTCTAAGTGCCATCTCATGGCAACTTTTTATCCTTAGTGATATAGCTCCATATTTGGTGTAACAAGTTTCAGGTGAATTTCCTGCTAAGACTGCCATATCGGTTGCTGTTACCAATAACAAACCTCCATCTTTAATTGCCTGTATTGCTGAATCAAGAAATATTGAAGGACAACCATATGGATCAAGATCAATCACATCAAATTGGTTTTGGTGGTGTTTGTGTTGGTACATTAATATACTGTAAAAAAAAACAAAAAATGGATAAGTGGATATTATGCAATTTATTTTACTAGAGATGAATTGTGTTTAATTAATTTCTCAATTATTTTAATCTAGCATATTCTAACAAAAAAAAATCAATGGATTAAGAGGGTTCTATACCCGTCCGCCATATTGGAAATGTTAATGTTCAAATTGCGGGCTTAATACTCACCAAAAAAAATATCTTTTTTGTATCCGTGCTTCTTATGCATCGTAGATTGGCGCATGATAACTTTTTTTTATAAACAAAAAAAAAATGAAATGAAAAAAATATAAAACAAGTCATATACGTATAAATATTATCATCCGCCATTCTTCATTTGCCACTGAACAACTTGTGTATTTACCATTTTTGAAAAAAGTAAGTAGTTTTTTCTAAAATTGAACATTGCATAAAAATTTCAGAGGGCACCGGGAGGTGCTGCCCCCAACGGTCTTCTTTTACGTTTTAATACCATGATAATCAATATTTTCTATGCCAGATGGCGCACCAGTCGCGAAAAGTATGTTCAGTTGCCTAAACCAATAAATATTGCAGAGTTACTTTCCGATCGATGTATAAAATTGCAAACAACACGATACACAGAATAACGGTGTGTTCCTGCGCATGCAGCTGACTGACGGTGACGTCACGTGGGACAGAATTGTTAGTATTAAATGGGAAATAGTGTTTGAAATTCGATATATCGCCGGTTTTAGATTTTATGCAGTTACTTAAGCTTTATTGGTTATTTAGTAATATATTCGTTTACAAATATGAAGGTTTAAGGTAAATAATACGAATAAAAATATTAATTTTTTTCATAAATTTTACGTATGTTGTGACAAAATCCATAACCTGGATAAGATAAATAAAAAATATGGACTAAAAATATAAGTTTGACTGAAATTTGTACTTTCTGGGAATTCAGTTCGAGCTTTTAGGTTCGGTGTTGCCGTCTCTACAGATAGTTTGTGAATCAACAGACAAAGCTCATAGTAGCGTTGGAAATAGTCCGTTTTTAAAATACATTTCTACAAAAAATTTATTCCTAATGAAAGTTGTTTCTATTATGAAATAAAACAAAATTCACAGAAAAATAAATAGGGTGGGCATAAAATTGCTATAAAATAGGTAGTGTTACAGAATAAATACAAAATCCGAGCGCGAAATTATGAAACGAGCTTGTTGATTTTGGTCTGAAATTATAACATAACACACTTTCTAAAAAAATTATCCTAAGTTCAGCTCCGAAAATCTTTACAGTCGGAAAAAATTAATAGGTACCGATTTTGCTTAAATAGTGGAGAAAAAGACATTCCTATAGCAAAAATCAAGGGCGCTAATGGCGTTTTATAAAAGGCTTTGAGCTCATTATGAAACCCAAGTTTAAAACCGCATTTATAAACAAATAATTGTCTATTCTGTAATGTGCAAATAAAAGGAAAGAATGCCATCCTTGGCAACGTTGTAATTTTATGTGTTGTCATCAAAATAAGTGATCTGTCTGTGGTTGTCAATGTCATTGCGAATGCGAATCAAATAACAAATACATGTTTATTAGTAAATTAGGCATTCCAAACAAATGAAGCGCGGTTCATTTTATGTCAAGCACAATGAAAATATTATTTTTATAGAAACCGTTTATGCATTTTCTATAAATTGGCAGACTTGGCGATTACTATTTCAAATAGAAATAGCGTCCAAGATTAAAGACTATGTCGCAATCTTCTTAGATTTATGAGCCCTTCCAACTGACAACTATTGTATGACAGGTCTTTGGAATATCTAATTGTGTGAGAATAATCACTGTGACTAATAAATCGACAAAGAAGTGGTTTTTATTATGGGTCGAGTACAAATAAAAAAAAACAGCAAAAGATTGGTTGGATTACGTCACGTTTTGTGTTGTACAAGTCTTAAACTTGTACGATTATATATATTGAGCGTTTGAGGCCGCATAATTAGGTTATCATTGGACGAAGACTGTTCAATACAGTATCTTAAATTTCCAAAATAAAAACTAAAACAAATAATATATTTACCTACATATATTTATACGCTTTTCTATTTATGAATGTGTGAAGGCTATATAATAAAGTGTTCATAAAAAGTAATTATAATTAAAATAAGCTCAAAAAACTAGAAACCGTGTTAAACTTATTAAATAAAAACCGATTATATATAGAAATCTAATTTTGTTAGTCATCAACGGCCGAAAATGGTACGTCTAGATGTTCTTATACGAGAATTGGTAGACTATGCAACCACAAATGCACAGAAATGTATTTCAGGCTGCCTAACAATTTTTTTAAAAGGGGGGGGGGTTATGGCGAAGACGTAAGGGACGAGGATTTTGAGGTTATGTATGAAATTGACGGAGCTGATGGGTATAGAACCCTCTTAATAATTTAAATTGTTCTTACACTGCATCACTATGGCTTGGTGTCACCAGTTGTTCAACGTTGTTACATTTAATATTATTTACAATATCTTCTACAGCTTTTGCTGATAAATCATTGGCCACTATCTCCTTAACACCTGGTATTTCTTTAGCATATCTAATACTTCTTAATCCTGTAGCTGATAGGGCTTCTAAAATATATAGACCATCCTCATATTTGGTCCCAGCTTGCCAATCAATGGTTTCCTGTTCTGAAGATTTAGCTTTTTCCAATTTTTCTTGACGAAATTGTTTGGCAAACACTGATATAACTGAAATACTATAAGTTTGAATTCAATATCTTATAGACTTCTGTGTTTAAAACAAAAATAGATTGTAATAGGATTTATTTTTGAAAGAAAAATTGAACCAACCTTAAATCTCTATTAAATTCTTGTACAGGATTATAAAATACGTTTCCTCTTGTTTTAATTGTAGCTAAACCTTCTGAAATTTCCTTTAAATCACACTTGTTTTTCTCGTCCATTTTTAATGTTCGGTACAGATTTGTGAACTTTATGAAATAAATATATTTTATACTTTGTCGAAATTCAATTAATTTTGAATAAAATAACATAAGCCGAATTCTTTTTCAAGTAAATAAACCTTATATAAATATATGCGATTTTAGATTTTAGTCAAATAAAAAGTAAGGTTATATTTATTATTTTAAATCTATGGAATTTCCAAGTTAGAGCGAACAGCAAACACCGACGAGTGCCGACGTCAATTGTTCACGAATATTTTAATGCGAATTTGCCAAACTGTTCCAAAAAGCCAAAAAAATCATATTTTTAAACTATTACTTTATTGTTCAACATGGCTAATTGCGAAGATTTTAATTGAAAAAAGTTGTCTATTTTAAGAAATTTTCGAGTTGTACGTTGCACAGAGTGAATACTGAAAAGTAATTCAATAATTCCACGTTCTACAATAGATATTATAATAGTGATATTTTGAACCTAAAATATTAATCTAAACAATCCAATATATGTTCAGTTTATTAAAATTTCCATAGTAGAGCATTTTCAGTGGTAGATAATGATATTAATGGAAGGCTAAGTACATTTTATGACTCTATAATATAAATCGTTCGGGCGCATTTTGAACCTGACCTCGATTCTGACAATCATTTATAACAATTTATTCTAGGGCTGTCACAGGCAAAAAGGTAAAATGATGCCCCTTTATAACAAACATTGAAAAAGATAACCTAAACCCTTCCCATGCTTAGTAGTAAATATAACATGAGCAAAAAAATGGTATTAAAAATGTTGAAGTTTTGATTTGCCAAAAATACAAATTTATATGTTTATAATATACAATATACATTCTCCAATTATTTTTTTATTTATGATAGGATCAAATTATTATTAAAGATCCCACAATATTTCATTCAAATTTATTTAGTCATAATGATCATGTCAAAAGTTTTTGACATGATCATTATGTCATCGAGGTACACTGCGCAAGTCTTCCAGGTTATTATCCTTTTAAAACCATTTCCATTAGTAGTTCAAAGGTCGCTGGGGCATTACAGAGACCAAACATGAGAACCTAGAATCGGTATAAATCCGCTGCCAGTTGAAAAAGCTGTTTTATCTAGATCGTCAGGGTGTACTTCTGCTTGCCAGTATCCGCTCTTCAAGTCTATAGTGGAAAATCATTTTTCCTTTATCTGATTTAATCTTCTTTTGTCTATACAGAAACGAGTAGATCCGTCTTTCTTAGTTACTAGGACCACAGGTGAGCACCAGAGACCAGACGCTTCTTCAATAATATTTGCTTCCATCATGCCCTATCATATTTGCTATGCTGGTCAAGACTTTCCTGTTTCGAAAATTTCACAGTTGGTATCGATGAAGTCTTTAAATTTTCTCAATTCTTTAGCTGTCAAGTGGTTATAATTTTTAACTAGCTATTTCACAAAGCTGGCGTCAATTTTGGTGGCTTTCCCCGCATCTTCTGCTCACATTTTGGCTGTTTCGTTGCATATTTTGCAGAATGTCAAAGATTTGCGAGATAGTAGGTTAGAGGATAGTATAAGTAGTGGCCTCTTTACTTTCCTGGAATCTAATTTCTCTCAATTTTGCGCGAGAAGATCCAGATATGATTTTTGCTGCTGCATATTCGTGGGCTACAATCAATGTCTCACTCAGCGTCTTGTGGTGTTGTTGCCGAAAAGCTTGCTGCATTTCCACATCTTGTAATCTATCAATGAATGTATGTATGTCAATTTGTTCTAGGAAATCTTTAAACACCTGTGGCCAGGCCAGATGCAAACTTTTTATATCGGGTTCGAATTTCTGTTTCTGACCACGAACCTTTAGCTGGCTTTGGAATATATGTTTTAAATGCTATACCCTGCCTGTCCGCGCAGCGACACTATCAATGGAGCCGCCATCTCCTTGACGGCTCAGCCATTGGCTCTAGCTGCAGCTTCCAATTAAAGTTGATACGTTTCCCATGTCGTCTGACCATCAAATGTGAGAGGCTTAAAAGGGTCTTGCTAATATGGTTTTGGGCAACTGGGGTCCGAATGTGGCTTGGTTCGGTTATATATGAAGACGAGGTAGTGTTTTCAGCTTTAATGTTGCTTACCGAAGCTTGGCTATAAATTCTTCTTTCTAACTCAACCATTTATTCAGTTCTAATTTGCCTTTCTAACTCTACTCTAGCCTTTTCGTGTAGTTTTAAATTATCTTGTTGTTGCTCTAAATTAGTTTATACATTATGTTGCTGCTGTTCTAAATTAGTTTTTAAATACTCTTGTTTTTCTCTAAATTAGCTTTTAAAATATCTTGTTGTGCTAAAAGATATACTCCAATGTTAAGCTGAACAACCTGCTCTTGCTTGAAGGTTTCGTGGATTTGTAGCAAACCATTCATAATTTCAACCGCTTCTTTTATACGCCTTTCTCTCTCCTCTTCTTCGTCCTTTCTGTACCTTTCCTTTTCCTCCTCCTCTTCCTTCTTCTTGGGACCTGGCTTGCCCGCCCCTAAAGCGGCCCTTCTGGGTTTAACTACTAAAGGAAGAAAGTTAAAAAAAAATTTTTTTACTGTAATGGATAATATCGTAATGCATTTGGCAACATCGCATATGCTTTGAAATGCTGGAATTAGTTCGAATTTCCCAGGAGCTCGCACTTGGTAAATATCTAAATTCTTGTGTGTTGTTCATAGATAAATTAATATTAAAAGATAAACCGTTAAAATGCACGGCACTGGTAACAAGTTTTAGTTCCCAGCCATACTACTTGGAGCCACCGTCGCAAATAAGATGACAGCGATGTTGTCAGTTTCCATAAAGTTTCATGAGGTTAGAGTTAATTCAAACGCATAAGCTGCACCTTATTTTGTTTTTGTCGTGCTCGATACCATCCATACAATGGCCATAATATTGCTGAGATATTTCTGCTTTCTCCGATATGTGTGGAGGAGTCTTCTATATCGCTAATATCAGACATTTTAATATTATAATTATCGAAGTTTAGCTACCTACGAAAATTTAATACGTTTTGACAACTAAAATAATTACATAGGAACCTAGGACAAACGTCAAACAGCATGCTTGATTGAAAAATTGTAGGTTTCTATTGATTAAAAATCTGTATCGTAATGAAAAATCTGTATCATAATGGGTATCATTATGAAACGGATTATGGGCATATAAGTGCATTATTATAATACGGGTGTAGAAAAAAGTTATTATGATGTTGTGGATATAATTATCCTTCGATAGGTAAGTTATTATTAGGTTAAGAAGATTGATAAGTGCTGATTTGATGAAATTAGTAAGTATTAACAATATAATTTAATAAGGTGTTAGATTTGTTTAAGGACTTTGTTTATCATTGTTTTCTTATAGCCTTAACGAAGTATAATTTCATTTTGGATCGATTTTCAATTCTTTTTTAATGTACCTATTTGTAACAAAACATGTCTGGCCCTGGTAAAATTAAGTAATCTTTTTCAGCCCCTTAATTTAAATAAGTATTATTCTAATATTCAGCAGGCTGGTTATTCAAATAAAACCTTTTTTCATTATCCTTCCGATATTAAAATTCGTGAAAACTGTTTTAAGAATTTACTTTATCTTTAGATAATAAAATTCGCTATCTTTTTGAAGATCATTTTTGGCCAGATTCTTTTAGTAAAATTGCTTCAAAACATAAACGACTAATTGCAAATTCTGTACCAATTTTATTAGCTAATAGTACCTACATCCAGTTCAACTATACTCAACCCAAACAGTCAGATTTTTAGAAAATGTTGAGGCTGAAGCACATACACAGTAGCATAAGATAGATTTGCTAATCTGCAACGAAAAACAAGAAATTATTTGCAAATGTAAACTTAGTATTAGTGATAAACAATTTGAACAACCCTCTGTTAAAAATGAAAAGTAATTTTCAAACTCAAATTTGTTAGATCAACTAGAACAGATTAGTTAAAATATAATTCAAATCGACCATTGCACTATGAGAAATAAACTGAAAGTTTTTTCTATAAACTAATTTTAGACAAATTAAAAATATTTTTTTTATAAGAAAGGGCAACATTTTGATAAGAAAAATTGTTTAATAAGATGTAAGTATGTACACTTTCTTGTTTTTATAGGAAACCCCTGACACCTGCATCAAAATTTGGTCCAGTTTTCCAAGAACGAGAGGAGAATACTATTAATTCCACTTACAGTTGGTATTTGTACATGTTCTGTATGTAATAAATGTTTAAATGCACCTTACTTTTATTAAATGATTAAACTATACGTATATACATACCTATTGTTTCAAATATTTTCATTTATATTTTTTGGAGTTTTATTACTTAAAAAACTAATATTTATGTTAAATACAGTATTTTAATGTAAATATTAGTTTTTTTAAAGTAATGAATGCCAAAAAATGTAAAATAATAAACGACATTTGAATGAGCCGCGTTTAGGCTTGACATTCTTCTTTTTAATTTTCTTCTTTTATGTTGTTCTAACTGTTAAGTTAATCAGTCAAATTTGTAGCGTGCGACGGTGGCTCAAGTAGTATGGCTGGGAACTACCACTTGTTACCAGTGCCGTGCATTTAAACGGTTTATCTTTTAATATTAATTTATCTATGGTGTTGTTTGCGTTGAATGGAAGACTCCACTTCATTGATAGAAGATGGAAAACATCCATTAAATTATTGTTCAAATACTTTTAAATCGATTGCTCGCTCGATCTTCGTATTTATATCATGTTTGATATTTGTAAATTCCTAGATCTGTTTTGGTTTTGAGGAGAAATAACAAGCATTTTGGTTTTTCCCGGACTCATGGAGGTAGAAGGTACCTTCCATGGAGGAAAGATTATTACCTTCTATAATACCTCCATGCTCGGACTGGCTCGGACTACTTCGGATCTCCGGGATCTCCCAGTCCAGTGTTTTGGTTTCGTATCCGAAGTACCTAATCCCATAATCCGTGATTGTTGTAAACAGTCAAAATGTGTTCATGCTTCAGAGTGTGGATCGTCTCGGACTGTTTTGAACACGCATGCGTTTTTGAAGTATTATAGATATCGTATTAGCTTTTTAGACCATATACAATCCCAAATTGTTTATTTATATGTGGACGAATGTCTCTTATTCTTATTTTATTTGTAAATTGAGGCAATTTTAGATTTATTAATTTTTTAATATTATTCTCCCGTTATTTTTATTCCGTTGAAATATGATGAGGATGATAATGATTAACATATGCATACAAATGTTATTTGAAGCTGAGCTTTCAAAAGGATTTGCATTATTTATAATAAACAATAAACAAAACACCTTTATGTCTTCTGGTTTTCCAACATTTTCAAACAGTCGGAGATATTTTGCCTTTACGCACACGGTCTGGCGCAGTTTCAAAACGAATCAGAACAAACCCAAAGAGATCGCTTGAACTTTGATCGCACGGTGCAACAACACGCTAGAAGAGCGCGTTTTCCGTTGTTTCGTTTTGCCTTGCCTCGCTTCTTGCGTTTATGCGTTTAGTAATTTAGTAAATAATTGCCGGTAGAGCGAGTAGGTCGTTGAGTATTTGCTTAGCGTGTAAGTTCTAAGTCGCGTATGCGCTTTAGATAGACTTGCACGTTTTCACAACAAATAGCGGTGCACCAAAGTTTTTGAAAATTATCTTTTGTTTTTGTTTATTATGAGAGGTGAATTTAAATTATAAAAAGTTTCTACATTTCTTAGAACTTCGTAGATAGTTAAATAAATGTTCCTTTGAAGGTTAAGGCCCCCTACTGTTACTGAAGAACAACAGGAAATATTCTAAAGGTAGGTATTTATTCAGTAACTTAAGTATTTTAATACAATTAGGTATTTGAAATAAAATGGGCTTGTAAAGCAATATGTGCACCCTATAGGTCAAAGAATGCAGTAGAACACCTAGGCACTTTTGAGTTAAATCTAGGTAAGCCATATTTTTAGGCTCTTTTAAGGCTGTTTTTATACCCTATTCCAAAATTTTATGATCCTCGTTTTTTGCAAAAATCAAGGAGCTCTGCTAGTTTCGAACGAAGTTAAGTTTTTTTTTCCAAAAACAACGACATCCTATTTTTAGGCCATTTTTAGGCTCTTAAATATAAAACTTCGATAAAAAATTATTTTTAAAAAATACAGGGTGATCTACTAGTTTCGAACGAAGTCAGCAGAACACCTCAGATTTTTAAAGTTTTTTCTAAAAACAACATCATATTCTTAGGCTATTTTTAGACTTATAAAATATTATAAAAAATTTTGAAAAAATTGTTATTTATTCAAAAATACAGGGTGTTTTGCTAGCTTCGAATCAAGCCAGCAGAGCTCCTCGGTTTTTTAAACAATTACACTGCATTTTTAGGCTCTTTAAAATAATATAAAACTACTAAAAAATTGCTATTTATAATTAATGCAGGGTGCTTTGCTGGAAAGTCAGCAGAGCACCTCAGCTTTTTTAAAGCGTTTTTTCTAAAAACAACCCATCGCATTTTTAGGCTATTTTTAGACTCTTAAAATATTATAAAACTTTTCGAAAAAAAAAAAAAAAATAAAAAAAATTAAAAAGCTTTCTTAGCTTCGAACGAATATAGCAGAGCTCCTCTGTTTTTTAAAGCTTTTTTCTGAAAACAAAAATCACATTTTTAGGCTGTTTTGAGTCTCTTAAAATATTAAAACACTTTTCAAAAAAATTAGTATTTTTTAAAAAATACATGTGCTTTAGTAGTTTCGAACGAATCCAGCATATTCCAAAAGCCTAAAAATATCTTAAAAATGTGGCATAAGCACATTGTTATCATATATAAATATCAGTTTTTCAAATAAGTTTTAGAATATTTCAACAACCTAAAAATTTGGTGTGGTTGTTTTTAGAAAAAAAGCTTAAAAAAACAGAGGTACTTTGCTGGATTCGTTCGAAGCTAGAAAGTACCCTGTATTTTTTTTAAAAAATACAATTTTTTTGCGGATAGTTTTAAAATATTTCAAGAGCCTAAAAATAGCCTGACAATAGTTTATGGCTTAAAAATGTGGTGTGGTTGTTTTTAGAAAAATGCTTTAAAAACCGAGGTGCTCTGCTGGATCCGTTCGAAACTAGCAAAGCACACTGTATTTTTTTAAAATACCTATTTTTTTTTAAGTTTTATAATATTTCAAGAGCCTAAAAATAGCCCAAAAATGCGGTGTGGTTGTTTTTAGAAAAACTCCTAAAAAAACCGAGGTGCACGTATTTTTTAAAAATAACAATTTTTTTTCAAAGTTTTATAATATTTTAAAAGCCTAAAATTAGCCTAAAAATGTGTCGTTGTTTTTGGAAAAAAAAAACCTAAAAAACTGAGGTGCTCTGCTGGCTTCGTGTCGAAGCCAGCAGAGCACCTTGATTTTTGCAAAAAACGAGAAACATGAATATGGTATAAAAAATAGCCTTAAAGTTAGCCTAAAAATAGGGTAGAAAAAAATAGGTTTCAAATCAAAATTGCCTAGGTGCTCTGCTGCCTTCTTTGACATGCACCCTATAATTGATTATTATTATTATTTTACTACCGTTTTTTTCATAGTTTATTTTTTATCCAATTTTACTTTTATGTAGCTATAGATATATATTTATATAGTTATATTTACGCTTCTTTAGAAGTCTATTTGAAAATATTTACACATCTTATTATAATGTTGAAAATAGTATCTATAATTATAGGTACATTTAGACAGTGCCGCCGAGAGCCAGGTCGGGCCCCGGAACAATTTTTCAGGTCGGGCTGCGCGACAATTTCACATTTCTAAAAAAAAAAACGTGCCGGCCCCCCTTATGCCGCTGCCGGGCCTCCACTTGAGCCCGAGCCCCGGGAATTTGTCCCGGCTACCCCCCCTCTCGTCTAATTAGTTTTTAGTCAAAACTCAACAACCACTCGGTATAAAAAATTTAAAGGTAACAAAAATAATGCCATAAATATAATAATTAGAATCCAGATCCGGCTTAACAAAATTTAACCATTTCTTTCCGCTTCAAAAACAGTAGGTTTTTGTTCATATAGAGTTACAGCTATGTCAAAAGCTATTATTAATAAAGTTAAACAAAAATTTTATTATATTAAGAAAAATTATTCTAGCTGATAACAAAAAAAAATAATGACAATTAGGGATAGTGCATACAACTTAAGGAATTCTTATTTTTGGACACAAGAAAATCCACACGTTATAAGACTCGAAAAATAATTTTCTGTGAATATTTGGTGTGGTTTGCTAAACAGCCATTTGATTCGGCCGCATGTGCTTCCTAATCGGTTAATGGTCTAGTTAACAAGTGCTTTTTGGGTCAAACTTTTTTCTCCGCCTCCGAAAAATATGAACAAGGTGTCACTCGATTCGGAATAGCGTGTACATGATTTTTGAAAAAAATTCAAGAGCCACTTGCAAAAATTGCAAAAGTTATAAACAATTAACTCAAAAACTATTTATAATTTCCAAGAATGTTGAAAATACGGCCGAAAACGGAGACTGGCTTGTGTAAGCTCCGCCCACTGTGGACCTTTAATTGATACATGAAAATTACGAATTGAAAAAATTCAGGCATATACTGGATAGATGAATGAACAATAATCCGCGGTCAAAAAATTTTTATCGCGATTTTTCTATTATGCATTAGTTAATTAACAATATTTTCCTACTTGAACATGAACATTGCAAGTGCGGAAATTGTTAAATAACAAATCTGAGATTTTTTCCTTTTTTGGAGCAATTTCTGAACGGTATCAGAAGAGATTACCATTGGAAAAATTAAAAAATTGTTATTTTTCACTTTGTTATTAACAATTTACTTAGGTTAAAAATTAAGAAGCTTTATTAATTATTGAAAAAATTCTTTTTTATTTATATTACTATTGATCCGTTTTTTTTATAATCAGAAGCCACATGAAAATGATTTTTAAAATTTTTTATTTCCTATTGTTTAAAAAATTATTATAAACAAATGCGTTGTTTATAAGATAATTTAAAAATTTTTTTTTGAAACATATCTTTGATGCAAATTATAATTTAAAAAAAAAATCGTTCCTTAAATAAAATTTTTTATTGCTTAAAAACGGATTTGTTAATTTTTTTTTCCACTTGTAATTATTATTAAGGAACCTTTTTTTTAATAATTTATCTTGCTCTTTGATAACTAAAAAAATTGTTTTTATTTAAATTTTCATTGTTTATTTAATAAACAATTTGTTATAAAAAATTATTGTTTTTATATTTTTTTATTTTTCTACATGATGCAACAAAAACAATGTATTATTTTTTGAGAAAAAAAAAATTATAATTTTTTTAAAGAAATTTTAAAATTACCTTTAGCTGTAACTAAATTTCCTGATAGTTCTTTTTTATAAATAAATGCTCTAAATTAAATAAATAATTAGGTAAGAGCTTGAATTTTGGGCTTAATTTGTTATAAGTTATGCTAATTTAAAGGACAAAAACCAGATGAGAATGGTAGAGTTACAGCTAAAGGTAATTATAAAATTCGATAAAAAATATAAATAATTTTTTTTTCCAAAAAATATTACTTGGTTATTTTTATTTCATCATGTAAAAAATAAAAAATATACATAAAAAAATTAATTGTTTGCAACAAATTGTTTATTAAATAAACAATATAGGGGGGGGGGGTTGGCTCAGTGGTTAGAGTCACGACTTTGAGATCGGAAGGCCTCAAGTTCGAATCCCACCGTTGGCCGGGATTTTTTCATTTAATTTAATTATTTAAAATTAATTCTGATGCCTTGGTAGGATTCCCCACTCGACCATTCACTGTTGGGTTCTAATAAAAATTTAAATAAAAACATTTTTTTTTTCAATTATTAAAGAGCAAGGTAAATTATGATTTAAAAAAATGGTTCCTTAATAATAATTACAAGTGGTAAAAAATTTGTTAATTAACAAATCCGTTTTTAAGTAATACAAAATTTTTGAAGGAACGATTTTTTTTAAAAGATTATGTTCCTAATAAAATAATTTCAAATTATCTTATAAACAACGCATTTGTTTATAAAAATTTTTTAAACAATAGGAAATAAAAAATGTTCATGATAAAACGGATCAATAGTAATATAAATAAATAAAAAAAATAAATATTAATTTTCTCAATAAATATTTAATATATCGACTTTTTTATTCTTAATTATTATTTGAATATCTGCTATTGTATTCTAAAAGAACTAACCTGAAACAATTCGAGCGGCAATCCAAGAAATTGTCGAAAGGGCAACAATATGTTTTCAGCAGAATGGTTTTCATTTTGAAACACTCATTTGTGAAATAAAAATATTCATTAATTTTTTTTATAATTAAATTTTCCTGTTGCCTAAAAGAAAATACCAAACTAAAAGCTTGTTAATGTTTGCTATTAATTCGAAATTAACCTTTTTATTCTTTAATTTCCTTATTTTATATTATACAGTGCATTTAAAAATAAATTAAAATTATTGGTTTAGCTAATTACGGTCCTGTAATTTATTTCTAACATTAAATCCAAGACTGAAATAGTATAAAATCAAGATATTTGAAAAGTACTTAATTAGAAAAGTAATATTTTCCGTGTTTTATCATCAAGAAATCATTTTTAAATTTTGAAGGTAACAAATTTTTAAATAGGTATATATTTCTTATCAAAAAATTAGTGTCTCTAAAACGACATGCGCATATTTTAAAAGACACCTACCGCAAAATTGATTTTTTTTGCTCTTTTGAGATATTTAATCAGATATGCTAAATTTGGTTTTACAGGGTGTTGTTTTTAAAGCGGAAATAAATTGTTAAGC